AAGAGAGATATTAGAAATAGTTTCAAACTTAGATGCTAACAGAACTCATGATCGATTTCAAAATTTATGCTTGCTTTGTAAATTAATAAAATCAATTTTGCAATTGTAAAGCATGTAAATTTTCACGTACACAAGCAAGTTCAAATCATTAGTAAATCATATTATGGTTTCGACACACTCGCAAACCTCAACAGGTGCCTATCGCCTAGTGCCGTGTATCGATCTACCACATTAACTGAAGCGGATCTCCCAAAAGCTTGTCGATCGCCTCCAAAGTCTCCTGATGAGCTTCTAATAAATATCCATAAGGTGTAAGCACTATCAAAAATGAACAAACTTGTTAACATAGATAGTTAAAGCATTTAACAATATTCAACAAATGTTTTCATTAAGTAAACATTGCGATATCATATTTTATTCCAACTTGGATTTCTCCAAAATGAAATATACACATCATCTATAATCCCATAAATCAAAATTTTAAGATTACAAATTAGTTTAAATCTAACAACGCGCATTGGCATAGGGAATTGTCTAATCTAGGATGTCAACACTAATAACATAGTCCTAAACAAGATGCATCATTCATATTCATAATTTTAAAAAATATGCAAGCAAGATCAAATGAATCAAACATATATTACCAAAAAGATAACTTGGACTAACTCAAGCGATTAGACCTTAAATCAAAGAGCACGCAAGACTCTGATACCCAATTGTAACCTAGAGGGGGTGATCTAGGGTCATGCTAATCTAAATCATTAAAATGCCAATTAATTAATTAATAAGTTATCCTACAAGTATAATACAACAAGAAATAACTAGAATAAGCAATATGAACAATGAGATATATCCTAATATGATAGAAATATAAGCAAGATATATACCAACACACAACGGGTAAACAATCTAAGACAAGAAAGTGAATGAAAATTAATAGCAAATGCACAAATGGCGATATAAGATGAAGCAGAAAAAAATATCAAAAGTACACTCAAACACAATCAAATGAATTCACGGAGTCGACGCTCTCCTAACGTCTTCCGCTCCACTCCCCGGGAGAAATCCACTATCAACCGGTTTCTACGTTCACGCCGAATAACGTTTACACCTCACATAATCACTAGCAATCACTCTTCACTACACAAGTAGTTGGTCAGCCCGTGTCTCCTCGCTCAAGTGCTCATTACAACCTCATCTCCCTAAAGCACAGATCAACGGTCGGAACGCCACTCCTCCTTGGATTCGAGCCCCGTTCTCACCAAGCACTTCTCATCGGTGTACAAGTGTATATTACAGAGTGAATCTCACAATTAAGGTATACAAATAAATCAATTGATCTGTTCTCTAAACAGATCGATCAACTCAAATTAAGCTCACTCTCAATTTCACAACCACAAACCCTACATTATACTATTACATGTAAATAATTAATCCAATAGTTTGTTGGTGTGAAACAAGAGAAATCAAATCACACTAAACTCAAATAATTCTAGCTTAATTAAATGAGTAATCAAACATTTATATAAAAGGTTAAAGCTAGATTGAGTTTAGAAAACACTTCTCTAAAGACGGACATAGAATAAGGGAGAGGAGAGGGAAGAGAGGAGGAGAGAGGGAGAAGAGTTGAAATGCCAAAAGCACGCAAGAAGATCTCTCACTAAGCTCTTGTGAAATCTTGCATAACAAACTTGAAACAAACTTAAAAACGCTAAACAAACTATAAAACTCTTTTAAAACTCTCTTAAACATCCATAGAACAATGAAAGTTTGAGGTTTTATAGCCTCTTAACCAGCCCACACAACCCCCAAAAACGTGAAAATATAAAACTAGCGTTACAGCCGTTATAAGGCTGAAAAGACCAAAATACCCCAAAAATCCAGCATTCTGAAATTGCGTATTAGCTTTGTAAAATCAAATTAAAAATAGTAAACAGCTCAAAAAATATGAAATTTTGTGGGACGGTTATAACATGTAGAATAACATGTAGAGAAAAGAATTTAAAAAAATAATTTCCCATTTGATATAAATAATTTTGAACACAGATTTACAGTTCTGAAAAACTGAGCTGACATACATAGATTTGTAAATCATTGGCACAGTAAAATAACTCAACAAATATAAAATTTGAGGAAGTTCTCTAACAATGTACAATAAACACCTGTCAAAGAAAGAATGTTTTTTGAATACCCAACTATCCATTATACAAACTTATCTGTTTTAATAAAATCAGTACAACACTGTGCAAACGAATAAAAACATGATTTTTGTTAAATCTCATAAACCATACATCAACTTCCATGAACCTTGATGAATTTGGCGAAATATTTATAGAGCATGAAAACAAACGTGTTAGAAAAAGAATTTCTCAAATTTAATTTCCCATTGTGCAAACTCATGTATCTTCAAGTGTGTCCAAAGCATAAAAAACTCAAAACCATGCATGTATACTATATAAACTTATATAATAAGAAAACCAAATACGTGTTTATAGGATGTGATTCTTAAGTACTAACCACATAATATAAAATCTAAACTAATTACCCAAGCTTGATCTTCGACTTCATTTGTAGCTCAACTTGTACACATGCGGATAAGCCTGAACTGACTCTTAACTTTGAAATTGCAATGCTTTCACCGACATTCGCCAACCTCCTTTGGATATCATCGTTGAAAGCTCTATTACATCATCTTCAATAAGTTGTTGTCTATAATAAATAATAACAAAAACACAAATACTAGACAAACAACATTAGTGGTAAATTATTTGTTAAACATCATCAAAACACGAAGGCCAACAATTTTTAGACAGCCTACAGTCCCCCAACAAGAGCTAAGCAGAGCCTTACACCGCTGAGCCAACCCTACGGGTTGAAATTACTTTATTTTAGTGCTTCTTTTTGAAAATTTTCTATGGATGATAGAAAAGAAATATGTAGAAACCCCATGTGACACTTGAAGTAATAGAGTCTGAATTCTATCAGAACAATCTATACACCACAAATTACAAATGTGTCCATGAGGAGAACAAAATTTGACTTTGGCTGAGATTGTTCTTTTAGGATTTATACTTGGCGTAGCATATATATAGTTTATGTCAGAATTGCTTGTCATGAAATTCGTCAGTTATAAATTTAAGTATTCAAGGTGAAGCGTTAAGATGAAACGATGAAAAATGATTTAGATTCTACTCGACATAAAAAATAATAGTGATCATTACTTTGGTTCATAGCTAAACACGATCCTCTTTGATTGTT